AAAATTTTTGCCCATTAGAGGTGGTAGTGAAGGGTTAAATATTTGTGAACTGGACACTTTCTCAAAAGGAAAAACTGTTTCGCTAAAGGTAATAATTAATTAATATGGAAGACCTCAGAGGCGAGAATTTTTTTTACAGTACTATAGTTATCAAAATGTAGAAATATACCTCTGGGTACAGCACAAATGTTTCTAGTAGAAGTGTGGCAGTCTTTTACAAATTTAAGTAGAAGGTTGTGTGTTCAAATTCTCTTTTTAATATCAATCACCAAAATAAAACAAGCAGAGCACAGGACTACTGTACATAGTCTGCTGAGCTGCTATGAAGATCACAGAATGTGGCATGTGCTAGACAAAAAGGTCATTAGAACTCAGGTCTTGTATTTAGGAAGTGAAGAGATGAATTGAGGCAAAAAGGATCTCCATGGGAACAAGAAACAATACTGCACAATCCTTTTACATTGGCAACCTAAGTCTCTCTCTCGTCTTCCCCTTTTAAAAAGGATGGCTGACAGCAAAATCAATTCGTGTCTGTGAGACAGGAAACATGATCGCAATCATTTTTGCAGCATCTCTCATTAGACATTTGGATATGAACTCATTCTTTACAGTATTCTTAGAACATCCCTCGACAATAAGCATTTCTAACATATGACGGTCTTTAATCCTAACATTACTAAACATCACACACACACCCTCTAGTAAACTACTACTTAAGAAACTTGATCCCCAAGGCATCTTTTCCAATGCAAGGCCAAGTCCTGTGAATATTTTCTGCATGAGGTTGGGTATTATTTTTGAAAAGAATTTTAAATATCATTCCTCTTTATAACAGAGTGTGTGTGTTTCACAACTTTTCTAAAACAGCTCTAGACAGGTGCTGAAAAATATAAATGAAAGTAAAATGAAAATAATTTAACTCAGCTCACCACTTGTAGAATGAAATTACGAAAAGGGGAGAGGGGAGGTTTTTCTAAAGTTGATAAACTGCTATGAAAAGTTTCAGAGTAACAGCCATGTTAGTCTGTATTTGCAAAAAGAAAAGGAGTACTTGTGGCACCTTAGAGACTAACCAATTTATTTGAGCATAAGCTTTTGTGAGCTACAGCTCACTTCATCGGATCACTTCATCGATTGGTTAGTCTCTAAGGTGCCACAAGTACTCCTTTTCTTTTTGCTATGAAAAGTACATTACAGAAGTTTAAATAAACTGGGATTCTATCAGAGAGACAGTAGAACCAGGCTGAGTTAATTTGGAACTTACATAAGCAAAACAATGACCAATTGCACCTGGAGAAAAGGGATACAGGGGAAAAGTACACGAGAAAAATCTGGGTCTGCATTAGAAAAATCCACTGACATGAGCAGCTCCCTTGGATACATTGCTGAAACTATAAATTTATCATTTCTATCCTAAGTTCTGTCATCTTCATTGAACTGTTCAGCCTCTTGAAGTTTAACATGGCCCAAACTCTACTTCAGTGTCTTTATAGTATGAAAAAAGCTGGGCAGAGCCCTGAGGATCTCTCTTCAGACAGAGACAGCTTCTCTTACGTCTCGGTCTAAGTGGTGCGCTATCTCTGGTAGTGTTGTTTGAAATGTGGCAACATCCCTTGAAGCTGAGTAGACTATGAAGTAGGCTGGTGCTCCAGAGAATAACATGCTGCAGTGTGTCCAGTATCCACTTGCCTGAAGTTGAACAGAACGAGACAGATGAGTAGTGGGCCTCCCAGGCCAGTTTCTGAACAAAGGACCCAGGTGCATTCATACTGAGGGAAAAGTAGGACCTATTCCTTGACCAGGGCTGCCCTGTTGCTTCAGATCTTACCCCTGAAATAAGAGAAATCCCTTCTCTGGTACCTTTTCTGTAGGTAGTGACGAAAGGAGCTTCTGCCTGTGCACAAAGGCTTGTAGTTCTTGAATTTTGCCAGAGGGTGGCATAAATACCTTGGCTTGTTTGTGCTGTTGGCTGCCCCTGATAGAGCTAGGTGGGTGAGGTTCTGTGGGCTGCAATGCACAGGAGGTCAGACTAGATGATCATGAGGGTCCCCTCTGGTCTTAAAGTCTATGAGCTCTTCCCCACAAAGGATTCAACTGGAGAATTCTGAGGCACAGAGGAATTGCTGTCAAGTAATGAGTCCAAAGTTTAAGATAGAGCTGGTGCCTGGTATTCTAACTTCCATGGCTCTCACTGGATGCCTCACAGAGTCTATCACAGACTTCAGAGATAAATTTTTTATAGCACTGATAGGAATTTGACATGATTGCAGATGTGGAGGCTTTTGTGTCATTGCTTCAGAACAACGTGGGTGTAGTGAAATGTGGTTGCCAGGGAGGCTTTAGAGTCCACTCCAAAGTCCCTTTTATCTTCTTTACTGTGGGGTCTTTGCGGAAGAATCCCCCTCAGCCGGGATGTTCAAGTCAGGGCAGGCAGGAAGCAGTTGTGGCAGAGAACCTCTTCTGCAGATCCTGAGAGGGTCTCCTTGCAGATGGAGCAATTCAGCTTTCTGCTTGCTCTGTTTAGCATGCTCCACCATGGTTGGGAGGAGACTTAGAAGGGATTCTGGAGAGCAAAACCCAAGAAACTTCTGTCCCCTAAGGGACAGCAGAGACCAGGGGAAAAGACGTTGCTTGTTACTGCATGAACAATTATCTTTATAAACTAGGATGGCAATGACAAGGTGGGAGCATTGAAGCCATCACTCAGAATGTGGTTTAAGTGCAGAAGGGCCAAGCCCCACAAACAAGTGAACTGCCTCCAGTATCTGTGAGAAGAGGCACAATCTAAATGTCTCAGACTGGGGGATATGTTGGGATTCACAATAATATTTTATGGCTGAAATTGGTGGAAGCTAGTTAGAAATACGTTGGTGATTGCTAGCTTTGGAATATCTGATTTAGTTGGGGTTGGTCCTGCTTTGAGCAAGGAGTTGGACATGATGACTTCCTGAGGTCTCTTCCAACCCTAATCTTCTATGGTTCTACGGTATGTTGCTTGAGGGAAGCCAAAAAAGAAAATTTTAGCAATGAACAAAGATGGTACCCCAAGAAATGGTTCCTAAATCTAATGTTTTGGCAAAACATATTGTAGTTAATCATTGGCTGTGTGTGTGTGTTCTTTCTGTGTGCTGTCCCAGCTCTGCGCAGATAGCCAACACAGCAGACCTCGATCAAACTGCCCACAAAGATCACTGACCTGTTTCAGTAGCGAAGGTGCCTGGCCAGGTTTATTGTCAACAAAGCACGGTCCTACAGATGCTACAGGACCACTAAGACATGCATGCCTATTACAATGGACCAGCTCAGTGAATGGCAGGACTTTCCATTCCCCCCCTTGGCCAGCCAAAGACATGCCCTCTGAGATCCCTCTTTATACACTGATACTAGCAAGTTATGTATTGCCCCTCTGACATCAGTTACCCCCTTTTACCTTGTACATGTTGGTTTGATCAAAACATCTCTATCCATCACCCTGGTATCCTGACTTTATCTTTAAGAGGGGTCAGTGTATCCTTGTATATCTTTGGGGAGTGTGTTTACACCATAACCTTGTATCGGGGTGTTCTGGTACCACTCTTCTGCAATGTGTTTGCATGAGTGTCCTGTGCCGAGTACTTTCCAGGAAGGTCTGTGCTTTTGCAATGCCAGCCCTGTTCTTGCCAGGTTCTGTGAACTTGCAAGCAGGAATGTTTTGTAACAGGGTCTGACTTATGCTCACAATCTGACTTTTGCTAACTTTGCTTTATACCAGCAAGGCTTGACCACTACTGTAGTTCAGGCTTCAGGCCTCATACCAGGCCTCTTATACAAGGCCTCATGTCTTAGGCTCTCTTTGTACTACACATATCATGGCCCAAGCCTAGGACAGAATGAAATTAATCTGAGCCACGGAAGAAATAGTTAAAAGACAAATTTGTTTGCACAATCACAAGTACATTTTTATCCCAGGGAATTTTCAAGTTGAGCAATTTACTACGGATTTGCAGAGCTCACCTATCATGGCCAGTGCTAGTTGCTTATTAGCTACAATACAGTTATTATTATCTTTGAAGCACCAGGCCATATTCTCAGCTCCCTTTTTATCCCAGTTCCATAATCTGGCTAGTTTGCCAACTGAGAATGGGAATTCTCATCTGATGTGAAGCTGGCTCCTATGTCAATTGCCCTAAATCCAGCATAGGGGGCAAAGCAGAACTTTCTGCTTTCCTACATCAATTCTCAGCTGAGGTGTTGTGCTTTAAATAGCATAGCTTATTACATGTGCTTTCTACAATCTTTAGTGCTTTCAAAGTTAATTTTTATGCTACTGGAGAGAGCTGAATTTCTTTGACTTTAGACAGCCGTTTGACTAATGAATTCACTGTTGTGAAGGAAAAGCCTTTGGTCCTGGTCTCATCAGAATTCACAAGCTAAGGAGGGTGAGGCATCATCAGCACATCAATGCAAGGACAAAAGAAAACCTAGGATCCTACTGGAGTAGGGACTGGTCATTCAACAACTGGCATTCTTCCCTCTGCAGTAGTACTGATTGAATATCTCAAGTAAGGTATTAAAGGGAAATTTGTTGTTGAGATGCTAATTCTAGGAAGTGTCATAAAACAGAGGTTGTGTCCACCTGTGGTTAAGTATTCCTAAAGAAATTTTCTCAATAGAATGGTGGTGATCTCAATATCTTGGCCAACTTCCATTTGTGCCCTCTTAAAATTATACCCACATTTCAAATGAATGCAGTGTTATTCCCTTGCTGTCATTAACTGTGGTGCTGTGTGATGTTAGAACAGATGACATGTTCTATTCCTGAGGTAGTGCATTTCAGTGATGGGTAAAGAGACTATTGTTAATACAAAAAAATTTAAAATGGCAACCTACAGTCTGCACCACATAAACAACCTGACTTCTCTTGAATTCCACAACGCATATAGATCTGATTCAAAAACCCCATAGAAATTGGAGTAGACAATCCTAAATTAGATTCTGAAAGTAGTGAAAGACAAAAAATGCAGATGTTACAAACAATCCATTTATTGGGTTTTAAACTAGGTACACAATTGAAATAATTTTGGCACTACACTATACAGTGGTTACATCTGTGTGCTGACACTTAGTAAATACTGTACTAGGAACACTGCTGTGCTTTAAAATTGTATTGAGTCACTCAATCAGCAGGTAGATATTTCAAAATATATTGTAGTGTTCCTGTAAGGAAGACTGTACAGGTTGTGTGAAAGATGAAACACATCAACTTGTGAACTATTTCATTGTAGGAGGTACCTTGCTTTCTATAATCTTATCACATCAAAACATGTGATGTTAGCATTTAGAGATGGTCACAAATGTTGCATTAAAATCCTCATCAGATGCAGTCATGAGATAAATGAAAACTAAAACAAAATAAAATTTCTGCCTTTTAAACAAGGAAAGATATTTTGCTAAAGAAAATAATTTAAAAAACACTAATGGCATTTGATTTGATACAAAAGCCAGAAGCACTATAGTATTAACACTGAAGTGTGAATTTTTACAAATTAATCTCACAATGATGTTATGTAAAAGGTTGCAAACTGTACAATGTCTTCCTAAAGCAATGCCTCTACAATTTATACAATCTTTTACATCTATGTAACACATATTAAACATGTCGTTAAATAGCCAATAGATATCAGTCTCTGAACAAACTTGCAGGCAAAAAACCAAAACCAAAAACAGAACTTCCACAATCTTAGCAGTCTTCCATTTATGCAAGATATGCTTCTCCAAATAGTGACTAATAGTCTTTTTAATGAGAATATTCTGTTAAAAAAAATTCAGCCATTCAGTGCTTTTACACACTGTACATACTCTTCAGTCTCTGAATTAAAACATTGCTTGATAGCAAAAAATTCATTATCTATGGGCTCTATTCATCTGAAAAGATCCACAGCCTTCCACCCTTAGGAAGCTGCAGATGGTCATGGGTTTAAGTTGTGCACCTGGTCAGATTACCTCCTAAAACTTGGCCAGGCCATGGAAATTTCCCCACTTTCCATAGTACTGATCTAGGCTGGAGAGGACAGAATGGATATTTCCATTTCCATAGAAGGTCAGATTTAAAAGGGTAGTCCAACTCTCAGATGGATTAAATGGCACAGAGTTTGTCACCAAATGGGTACTTGAATGCAAGCGGTGAAAAAAAATCCTTTGAGAAAAATAGGTTCCTGGCCTCTTGTCATGGGAGTAGGTGGGTTTGAGGTTCATAGGTACCAGCTCCTGCAGGTTGATACGATAAAAAATGTCAACCAAAACTGGAGCACTTCCCTTAGAATGTTCAGACTTGCAGTCGTGTGTGCTCTGCAAATCCACGGACGTAAAAAATGGCTGGGCACATGGAATAAGAAAGAAAAAAGAGGCGATGGGAAGAGATGGGTGGTATAAGCCAGTGAGTAGAGGTTGAAGGTGGTAAGGTTGTATAATGCAGGCCCATGACAGTACGCTTTGAAACAAGTAATGATCTGGCCCCACAGATGCAGTAATGGAAGAACGCAGGACTCCCAGAGCTACTCCCTGTAGAGTTGTAATTTGTGATGAACAGAGCTCTGTTAGGACCTAATATTTGTATTCTAAAAATGGTTTTGATTAGGCATCAGGATTTCCAAGACTAAAAGTTCCATACACAATAAATTAGTTTTGAGTTTCCTTTATTTTTGCAGAAATGTTTCTAGGTCCTCATTTTTTCCAAGAAGAACCTGAAATAGAAATAATTAAAAACAAGATTATATCTTCACCCATGTTCTTGTGATACTACAGAAAATGATGATTAAAAAAGTCCCTTGCAGGCTAGCACAGTGGTCCAGTCACAACACATATCATTCCCATGCAAGAGATCAGGGTTCAAATTCAAGTCTGATTCCTTGTTCTGCAGGTCAACAAGGACCAGGAACACTGTGAATGTGGTATGTTCAGTCTCAAGGTACCTGTGTCTCTCTAGTGATGCTCCTCTGACAGAAATGCAGAGGGCAGCTTATGGGCTGAGAAGGTTTGGGAGCAAAGGGAGTGTTGATAAAACTTCTTTTCTTCTGAAGTCCTAGACTTTTAGTTTATTGTGTATTCCCTTATTTTTGTTTGAATAAAGTAAAGATAAACAGCAGGTCACTAAAAGCAGAGTTTTCAACCAACAGAAGATACTCCACTGAGCATTGATAGGGACTTCATTTGGAGGGAACGCTTTTCCCTGGATCTGGGACCTTCTTTCCTTTACTTTGACTGGATGGCTAGAGTGGACATCATAAAATGGGAATGTTTTCTAATTTAAACCAAAATAAACACAACCTTACCTATTTAAGCATAATAGCATGGTGATACTAAGAGGTCTGTAAGGACAAGCAGCTGGTCATCAGTGAACTGCTGTTTGTGCTCCTGCCAGTTGTCATGGTGTGTCCTCCGGAAATTGGACAGTGTTTTCTTTACTGTCATCTGTGTAGCAGGCAAGAAAAAAATTAGATCTGTATCAATTTTTGATATTTTTTAGAACTGTTTCACATCTGTGGAAAGTTTCCCTAAATGGGATAACAAATAACAAAAGTAAGAGAGGGTTAATCACCTTGTGCAGTAACTGAGGTTCTTTGAGATGTGAATCCCTGTGGGTGCTCCACTTTAGGTGACTGTGCACCCTGCACCTCTAGTCGGAGAATTTTGACAGAAATACTTGGCTGGGCCACACATGCGCTCTCCCAGTCTCGCGCCTGCAACGGCAATTAACTAGTGCTGTGCAGCCCCCTCACTCCCCCAGTTCCTTCTCTACCGCAGAGGAATTAATTAGAACGCCGAAGTAGAGGGGAGGAGGGTGGGCAGTAGAGCACCCACAGGAACAACCATCTTGAAAAACCTCAGTTACTGCACAAGGTGAGTAACCCTCTCTTCTTCTTCGAGTAGTGAGTGCTCCACTTTAGGTGACTGTAAAGCAGTGCCCCTCAGGGGAAAGGGGGGGAATTTGGAGTTAGGTCTGAATGGATGATAAGATAGTGTGTCCCAGCCGAGTGTCAGAGGCTGAGACCTGACGGATGATGTAGTGTTGAATGAATGTGTGAGGAGAAGTCCAAGTAGCTGTATTGCACATGTCGGTAATAGGCACATCGTGCAGGAAGGCAACCGATGTGGCTACAGATCTTGTGGAGTGTGTTCTAACCCTTGAGGGGGGTTGTAGGTCATGTTGTCGGTAACAGAGCTGAACGTAATCTGAAATTCATCTGGAAAGACTCTGCCTAGAGATGGGTTTTCCTTTGGAATGGTCCGAGGTGGAGAGGAACAATTTAGGAGTTTTCCTGAACGATTTGGTCTGTTCAAGATAAAAGGCTAGTGCCCTTCTAACGTCAAGGGTGTAGAAAACTGCTTCTTGCCTGTCCTTGTGAGGTTTAGGGAAGAATGTGGGAAGATGGATAGGCTGATTGATGTGGAAAAAAGAAGGGACTTTATGCAAAAATTTGGGGTTAGGTCAGAATGACCTTGTTTTTTTTAAAAAAAACCACATAGGGTGGTCCAGCCATAAGACCAGCAATTTCTCCCATATGATGGCAACTAGGAAGGCCGCCTTCATGCAAAGATGTAGAAGAGAACACATGGCCAATGGTTCAAATAGGGCGGTTGTGAGAGATCAAAGCACTAAAGTCAGATCCTATGGGGGTGTTGGGGCTCTGGGTAGAGGCTGCGCACTCCCTGCAGGAATCTTTTGGTAATTGGGTGAGCAAAGACTGAAATGCTGTTCACTTTGTCATGGAATGTTGTAATGGCTGCCAGGTGCACCCGGAATGAACTCATTGAAAGGCCAGATTTCTTAAGGTAGAGCATGTAGTCCCATGGTATGGGAGAGATGGTGGCGTCGATTTGTTTTTTTAGACACTACGTGTGGAATCTCTTCCATTTATGTAGGTACGTAGCCGGTGTAGTGGGCCTTCTGCTGTTTAGCCGGATGTCTTTAACACCCTCAGAACAAGTTATCTCCTTTGCCATGGAACCATTGAGGAGCCAGGATGTGAGATGGAGCGACTCCAGGTTTGGATGGAGAGTCTGACCTGCATCCTAAGAGAGAAGATTGGGAAGAAGTGGGAGCCAGGGGGGCATGATGACATCTGTTTCAGGTTTGGGTGCCAGGTTTGTCTGGGCCATGCTGGTGCTATCAGAATGACTCTGGCTTGATGGATTCTGATCTTGTCCAGGATGCTGGACAGCAATGGGGTATGAGGAAAAGCATATAGGAGGGGTATGTGCCACAGAATGAAAAATGCATCACTGCTGGATCCTGATCCCAGACCCACTCTGGGACTGGACATTTGCTGTTTTGTTTTGTGCTGAATAGGTCTATCGCGGGGAACCCCCATAGCTGCAATATGCTCTGGATCATGCAGGTGTTGATTGCCCACTTGTGGTCATTCGAGAATCTTCGACTTAATGTGTCGGCTGTGCTATTCCGAGACCCCCAGCAGGTAGGTGGCTGATATGGTGACTGTGTGTTGTATGCACCATGTCTAGAGTTTTATGGCCTCCATACCTAGGGAGTGTGATCTTACTCCTCCCTATTTACTTATGTGGAACATGCAGACTACTTTGTCCATCATGATCTGTATGTTTTTGTCTTTAATCAGAGGCATGAAATGTGCACAGGCATTGCAAACTGCGAGTAATTCCAATACATTGATGTGGAGTGTTGATTAGGAAGGATATCATCTTCCCTGTACTGTGAGCTTATGCAGGTGGGCACCCCACCCCAGTAGAGAGGCATCCGTTGTGATTATCAATTTGGGAGGAGGCTGAAGGAAAGGGACACCTGCGCAGATATTGTGTGGGTGAGTTCACCATTGTAGTGAGTCCTTGACCTTCGTTGGCATACTCAGAAGTTGGTTCAAATTGCATGTGTGTGGTATGAACACCATCTTGAGCCAACACTGCAAGCAGTGCATGTACAGTCTGGCACGTTTCACCATGTACATAGTCACTACCATGTGATCTAGTAGCTGAAGACAGGTCCCGGCCGATATCCTTGGGCTGTGCACTGAGGTACTGATGTGGTTTGTTAGAGTGGTGAATCTCTGAAGAGGTAATGATTCTGTCACTTCTAGAGAATTTAGATGCGCGCCGATTAAGTCCAGTTTCTGGACTGGCGTTAATGTGGAATTTTGGACGTTTGTTTGTATACTGAGACTGGTGAAGAGTGACGTTGTCTGGTGCGTGACTGCGATGGCTTCTGCCCAAGTGTGAGCCTTGATCAGATGGTCGTCTAAGCAGGGGTATATCATGACCCAGTGCTTGCGAAGGTGGGCTGCGGCCACAATAAGGACTTTGGAAAATACTCAGGGGGCCGTGGAGAGGCCAAAGGATAGTACTGTATATTGGAAATGGTCCTGTCCTAGTACGAACCAAAGAAATTTGTTGTGCATAGGGCTTATTGTAATGTGAAAATATGCATCTTTCAGGTTGAGGGCTGCAAACCAATCCCTTTGTTCCAGTGCTGGAATGATTGTAGCTAACATAACCATCCTGAACGTTGTGTTCTGACGAATTTGTTTAGCTTCCTGAGATCGAGGATGGGTCTCCATCCTCCAGACTTCTTTCGGGTTAAAAAATAATGAGAATAGAATCATAGAACTGGAAGGGACCTCAAGAGGTCATCTAGTCCAGTCCCCTGCACTTGTGGCAGGATTAAGTATTATCTAGACCATTCCTGACAGGTAGAAGCCCTTCCCTCTGTGATGTACCAGAACTGTTTCTACTGCGCCCAGTTGTAGGAGATGCTCCACTTCCTGTCTCAGGAAGGGCTCGTGAGAGGGGTCCCTGAAGAGGGACAGGGAGGGATGGAGAGGAACTGGAGGGCATAGCCAGGCTTGATGATTTCCAGTACCCATCTGTCAGAAGTGATGGTTCACCGGTTTGGATAGAACAGTATTAAACGATTGGTAAAGGGATGGTTGGTGGGAGGTCTGGCAGCAAGTTGTTGGGAGCAAAAGTCAGGGGGAGGTCTGGTAAGCCCTTGACCAAACCTTCAAATCTGCTGTTTAGAGGTCGATTGTTGAGATGTGGTGGGCTGGGAGGAGCTTGGTCTGCGTCTGAGTGGTCTCTATCTATGCCTCTGGTTACTGTATTGTCTTGGCTGCTGTGTGTACGATGATCCTTGCCGCCGTGTCAATGGAGTCCAAAGAGGCTTTGAGGACAGTTCTAGCCAAGAGGTGGCCCTTGGAAATGAGCTATGTAAACTGCTCTCTTTTGTCCTCTGGTATGTAGTCAATAAAGTCAGAAAATTTGGAATAGTTTTTATGGTCATACTTCGCCATAAATGCTTCATAATTAGCGACCCGGAAGTGTAGTGTTGTTGATGAATAGGCCTTGCGGCCGAGTAAGTCCAATCTTTTCCACTCTTTATCATAATGGGTGGTTCTAGAGTAATGCTGTTTGCCCCGTTTGTTGACTGCATCAATTGCCAATGAATTTGTCTGAGGGTATGTGAATAGAGATTCCATCCCTTTCGAAGGGATGTAATATTTTTTGTCTGATCTCTTACATGTGGGTGGGATGGTGGTAGGGGTCTGCCAGATGTTTGTGGCGGATTCCATGATTGCTGAGTTAATCTGAAGGGCAATCTTGGAGGAAGTGACGTGTGAAGTATATCCAAGCGCTTGTGACGTGACTCAGAGATCTCCTCTAGGGTTATCTGGAGTGTCTCTGCTATTCTTTTGAAGAGCTCCTGGAAACTCCTGAAATCAACTCCAGCAGTAGGCGTAAAGGGCATAATAATCTCATCCAGTGACAATGAAGTGCAGGTGGCAGGAGCTGCTTCCTAAGCTAAACCTTCTTCCCTCTCCTCAACGCTGTTTGGGAGGGGTAGCTGGTGACACTGTGGATAGTGGTGAAGAGTGCCTATGTACCTCCATGGGGCCACTTAGGGGTCTGGGGTAAAACCGTCTATAAGCTGCCCATGGGTCCCAGAATGCCCACTGAGATGGGAAGGGCATGGGGCTCCCAGGGGTGACCATACCACCCTTGAAATTCAGATGCTGGCGCAGGCTTAGGGAGTTCCTGATGTATGGACCGAACACTGCCTTGCATAAGTGAAGAGCGTTGGGAGGAGAAAACCTCCCCCTTCTTCATCTTCATCCTCCTCGCTAGAGATAGAGGAGCGACTGTAGTTGGTGGAGGGAGCACTAGCGAAAGTACCGAAGAAGTATCAGTACCAAGGAGAGACAATTCTGGTACTGGGGCAATTGTCAGGTCCTTTGGAGCAAGAAACTCTTGAGGCTGTGGTACTGATGAAGGTACCTGTGTGAAAGGCGGTTGTGATAAATGAAGGGCGGGGGGTAGCTCCCTTTTATGGGCACCCAGCCAGCCAGTCAACCAGCTATAAAGTCCCTCTTGGTGTTTGTTCCCTGCTTGCTTTACCTGTAAAGCGTTAACAAAGTCCCCCAGATAAAGGAAAGGGAGTTGGCACCTGACCAAAAGAGCCAATGGGAAGGCTAGAACTTTTTAAAATGGAAAAAACTTCCCCTTTGTCTCTGTTATTGTTTTCCAGGAAAGAGGGGAACAGGGAGCAGTTATGCTATGAGAAGCTTTAAGCCAGGTATGATCATAGATCATCCGATCATACCTAGAACTACTTATTTGGAACTCCCAAATGTGTAAGCAGATTAGGAATGTTTAGAAAGACGCGATTAGGTTCTTTCTTTTATTTCTTATTAGCTTGTGGACTCCTCTGTGCTGACCACAGATGCTTCTGTTTGCTTGTAACCTTTAAACTGAACCCCCAAGAAAGCTATTTTGGGTGCTTAATTTTTGGAACTGTTCTTTTTAAATCTAGCAAAAGCCTAAGCTCCATATATATTTTCTTTCTTTTTGTTTTTAATAAAATTTACCTTTTTTAAGAACGGGATTGGATTTTTGGTGTTCGAAGAGGTTTGTGCATATGATGTTTAATTATGTAAGGGGACTGTTGCCCCCTTACTAACATTCAGTGGGGGTGTTTAGTTGCTAGCTCCCAGTACTAAAAAAGGGGAAGGGTTGATGGGAAATCAGGACCCTGAGACTGACAGCCCCCAGGAACAATGGGGAGAGGCCAATGCTCCAGGTCAGCCTGAATGACAGGGCAGGCAGGCTAATCAGGGAGTCAGGAGGCCAGAGAGGTCCCGTCCTCCGTGTAAGCTGGAATTGCCTGGGTCAGACAGAGTGGGGCCGAGCTAAGGAGAAAGCAGGGGCCTAAGCTTAGCTGGGGAGATGAGCTGTGCCAGATCCAGAGGGACCAGAAAAGCAGCCCGGAGAGAGCAGACTCTGTCCTGGGAGCAGAGCTGCAGCCCCAAAGCCAGAGGCACAGCCCAGAGAGAGCAGACTTCCCTGGGAGGAGAGTTGCAGCAACCAGAGCCACAGGGGCCAGAAAAGCAGCCCAGGAAGCAGGTCAGTGCTGGGAGCAGAGTCACAGAAGCACCCTGCAGAGCAGATCCGTCCTGGGAGCAGAGCTGCAGCAACCAGAGCCAGAGGGGCCAAAGAAGCAGCCCAGGGAGCTGGAGGCAGAGCAGCAGCAGCAGTGCTGAGACAGAGTGGTAGAACTGGGGCTGGAGCAGTCTGGAGCTGGGTGTGGTAAGCAGCTGGGGAGAGCAAGGGGGATCCTGGGCAGCGGGCCCAGCACAGGGAGACACCTCAGCCAAGACGCTCTGCAGGCCAGGCTTGGATCGTAAGCCCGAAAGGGCGGGGACAACGCTGGGAAGAAGGGTCCTACCACTTAGAGCCTGAGAGCGTGTGGCCACCACCAGAGCAAATGTCCAACCCACAGCATCCCTGCAGCACAGCCAGGGCCTGAGCAGGAGGCCTGGGACTTACAAGGAACAGACTGTGAACTGCCCGGACATTCCAGAGACACTGTTTGTGATGTTCCCTGCACCGAAAGGGTAGATGTGTTTCCTTTAACCTTTCCCTTATTCTTTTTAAAATTAAGTGTTGATTAAATAACTTGCATTTGCTTTAACTTGTATGTAATGGTCAATGGGTCAGAGAAGTGCCCAGGGCAGAGAGTACATCCCGGAGTGGGGACACCCTAGCCCCTGTCCTAGGTGACCACAGCAGGGTTGGGAATCAAGCTCCCCAGGAATCTGGGGCCCAGCCTTGTTGGGGTTACAAGGACTCTGCCAGACAGGAGAGTGGAAGGGGAGTCCTCAAAGGCAGGGAGGCCACTGGGTAAAGGAAGTGGGAGTGACGACTCAGATCCTTTCGCTAGCCCACTTCACCGGGGTAGTGCAGAAGCCAGGAAAGTTCCCCACAATAGCGGGACTATTCCCCCGCTTACAATTAGCTGGGGTTAACAGCTAATTTTCTTTGTTTTCTTTCTCAGCTCTTCCCCGGAGGGGAGTGAAAGGGCTTGACGGTACCCCACAGGAAGGAATTCCCAAGTGTGCCTTCCTGGGTCCCAAGGGGTTTGAATTTGGGTGGTGGCAGCATCTACCCATCCAAGGTCAGAGAGAAGCTGTAACCTTGGGAGTTTAATGCAAGCCTGGAGTGGCCAGTATTAATGTTTAAAAATCCTTGTGGGCCACCACCTTCTGCACTTGAAGTGCCAAAGTGGAGAATCAGCCTTGACAGCGGTACAGAGAACTGTGGCAGCACCAGGGGACCTTGCGGTACCAGTAGGAAAGGAGCCAACAGAGAGCATGCCGAGGATGGCATGACAATCTGTGGTGCAGTGTCTGTGCTATTGAACATAGGGCCAGCAGGTGGCACTGTTGCCTTTTGTACTGCAGAGTTGCTTGGTACCGAGCTCTTTGTCTGTGCTACTAGTGCTGGGGTGGAGGAGGCAGTCTTCTGTCTGCTCTCCTTCTCAGAGCCTGCCTGCTAGGGTCTGTGGCTGTGATGGTACCGCCGGTACTGGAAGTCCCCGCTGACTCAACGGCACTAAGCCATGGTGTGTTCGGTACCAATGTGGTGGACGGAGTCGGGGAATGTTTCCTCTTTGATGTGGTCTTGGTAAGGGGAGTGTTAGCTCTCCTCTTTCCACATCCTTCAGGAGATAGGTCCCTTCCTTTCCGGGTGGAGGAGGTGGGTCTGTCAGAAGCCGCCTGCGGTGATAGGGTGGCAGGAGAAGTTTGCAAGCCCGGGTCTGAGGCGGGATGGAGGGACTTCTCCATTAGGATAAGTTTCAGTTTAAGATCCCTCACTTTCCTTGTCTGGGTCTTAAGACTGTGACAAGGGGTGCACTTCTGGGGCACATAAGTTCCCCAGGCACCAGAGACACGGCGAGTGTCCACCAGAAAGCGGAATTGCCTCGCGACAGGAGAGGCAGCGTTTAAAGCCAGGCGACCCGGGCATTCTGAGGAAAAATAATGTCCCTTAAGAGGACGAAAGGAAAATTTTTTATTTATTTTTTAGTGGGCAGAAAAAGAAATAAAGGGTTCTTAACCAACTACCCTAACTACACTAAACTACTTGACTAATTTAATTAAACTAAATCTGAGATAAAAGCGAGAGCGCGCACTGCTGGAGCCCTGACTTGAACCAAGGGCGGCTGAGAAGGAACTGGTGGGTGAAAGGGTCGCACAGCACTAGTTAATTGCCACTGGAGGTGCAAGATGGGGAGCGTGCGTGTGCAGCCCAGCCAGGTACTGCTATCGAAATTCTCTGACTAGAGGTGCAGGGTTCATAATCACCTGAAGTGGAGCACCCACAGAGACTCCACTTGAAGAAGAATAGGTAGTTCTATATTTGGATGACACTCCTCAAGTAGCATTTGTATACATTCAGACAGTTGGAAAGTCTGGAACGGACCCCCAAAAATTCATCCGGTCCAGATCTGTAAGATTTCAGAATTTACAACTAGTTTTGAATTCTAATCTCTCTAGATCAGTGTTGTCAAGGCTGTTGGTTTTTTGTTTTGCAAACTTTGGAGACCTATGGTAAATTCTTATTAATTTTGATCAAAATAGTTTTCTTCCCTCCTCTCAGTTTTCAGTGTTGTTGATGCCTCTGTAGGGGCTCAGGCTCTGCTGGGTTTTTCAGTGTTGGACAGACAGATGGTAAAAGGTTGAAACAATAATTTTTGTTCAGTCACATACAACTTGCAAAGTGGATGGGAGATCAAACTTTTACGGGGACATTCCAGAGATATCGTCTCCTATTATTATTTAGTATATCTTGTTTGGTGCACCGCAAAGGCAAAATAATTATATGCACTCTCCAGATTTAATTTTTGTAATCCAGTAAAAGTCAGCCCTAGCAGAACTGGTTAGCTCTTTCAAGGAAATTCCCCTCCACAAAGTTTAAACACTATAGTAAATAACAATAATATAGTTGAATTGCTAGCAACAGCTACAGGTAAAGATGCTTAAGTATTTCCATTCAAAGCCCCTTTTTTGAGTTGCTCATAAAAGTTTCCAGTACTTTCATCTATCAGGCTGCAATTTTATAGGCCCTGGTCTCTACCCAATGATTTTGTTTGCTTTATTTTGTTTAGTTTGTGTAAAAACTATGTTAGTCATTTTTGAGTACAAGGAGAGTGAAGGAATTTCCCCATAATAAATAAAACTCTCTCAGCTTTCTACTTAATTTATTTTTGGCTCTAGTGTAGAAATGACTGAGGCAGAATAGAAATATGGCAAGGAACTGGCATGCTTTCATAAGGTGCCTTTGAGTTAAAGCACGTTTGGAATTAGCAAAGTTATGAGCTTTTGAAGAAAAAATGTCACACCGTGACATATATTCCTTCACAGTCTTTCTTCAGGAAGCTGATGTAAGGATGATAGACATGTTTTAGATTAAACAGAAAAAAATAAATAGGATCAGACTATTTTTACCTCAATAGGCTGAGGATCATTCAGGTGGGCACTGAGGTCCATCAGAAGCTGGGGCATCCAAGTGGGTACATCATAAGGGCTTGACAAAATACATGCACTAAGTCCAAGCACACCAGCATGGCGCTTAACCAAGTCTGCAATGAAAAGACCGTAATATACATGTGGCAGGATATAAATCTTTCAAAATATGTTTCCATAACACAGCCAGGCTTGAAACTTCACTTTCAGTAATTCCAGCTATTTTTAACGTATGAAAAGTACTAAAATAAATACACATTAAACGTAAGTTATCATGAGCAGTAAAGCGCAACTAACATCCATACTAGGGGAATTCTTAATCTCCACATCTTCTACCCATTACGGGCTCTTGTGAAGAATCAAAAAGGAGAGGTTATTTACCAGTTCAAGGGCTGCCTCTGCAGTGGACTCAAAAATGCCTGTACCGATGTTCTGTAACTTTCTGGTAAACTGTTCCTATTGGGGCTCATGTAAATACAGTCTAATGGCACTGAAAGTTCTAGGGAGAGCAAGCTCTAACTTAGTTCCTTTCTCCGGCGCCTCACAGGTGAAGGTGGATGAGGCGTGTGACTGCTAAGACAACCCTCAAAGAATTACACTGACTGGTAAAATAACCATTTCCTCTTTGACGAGTCTCTGAATACATGTACATTCATGGAAATTGGTAAGCAGTACACCCTAGAATAAACCACAAAAACCTATTAACCATCATATAACTCTGCACTGTAGTAGTATAGTGTTATTTAACATTTATACTGTATCAGCACCCAAAGTACCTAATTGGGATTGGGACCCCATTGTGCTAGGAGCAATACAAACATACAGGAAAAAAGTCAGATCTATAAACAAAAATGTTTTGTCATGATGGTTTATAAACATTTAAGTATTATAAATATTTGCATACACAACAGCTCCGTTTCTTTATGTATACTGCTTGAAGAGTCCTCCGTAACTGCAGGGCCTGTTCTAGCCATCTGAGTTGCTCACATAATAAGTTGTCTAAGGACAATGTAAATAAAGTAACTGAACCAGTTTTTTAATTTACAGTTTGCTTCTCCAAGGCAGTGTCTTTACCTGCAGAAGGAATGGTATCCACCACTGTGCCAAGGTCTCGCTTTCTCTTTTTTGGTAGTTTTGTCTTGCAGAGCTGTTCAAAGTGAGCCTGCACTGGGCTATCCATAGTGAGGAAGTTGCACTGTAGCAGGCCACTCAGTGTGGTAGCAGCCATTTCTCTCACCTAGGAGCAGAAACATCAGCTACATCAATTACTACATCAAACATTCATGGCTGACTTTTATTACTGCCCTGTTGGACTGATCAGTTAGATCATGTTGCCATACTGTGCTTGACAAAGGCCTTTCAAGTTTTTATCACCTCATCTTAGTAGGTCATTAAATACAATTAGTATATTAAAGTGTCACATATAAAGCAATAAACAATATTCATTTACAATTTTAAAACTGTCTTTACACAGATTGACAAAATTAGTGATCCACGACTGCAGCAAACAATAAAATTTCAGTGTCTAACTTGTGTTGTAAGCTAAAACAGCAACTGATTTTGAATTTTGAAAAATAGTCATGTGTGATAAATATATAATCCAGAACAATTTATAATAATGCTACTGTGATTTTATAGAAAATATATAAATAGTACAACTATTATAGAGATACCTGCTTTGTCCATTAATGAAATCGGTACACTAAGATCAGTTTACACAGGGGAAAATATACCTTTATCCAAAGTGTTTCATTTCTTTCCTTGCTACATATGAAACCTTTACAATCCACAGTTTAGGATGAACATCTTGGAGGTATGCAAATTTAAGAATGTTTATATTCATGATATCTATTATCCTAGCTGAATCTTGGGAAATTTACGAGGCCATCCTGTATTAAGACTGAATTATGACAATACTCTTCATAATGTTGTAACTCTTGCTGATGTTTATAAGCAATGTTGGGTTATTAGGCAATATTATGTCAGTAGTGTGCAGTCACTGACTCAGTTGTATAGCCTTCCAGTATTCATTTTACTGCCTTGAGCCTTGGTCAATCCATCAGAAAACTGACTTGTAAAAATAGATATGACAGAGACATGCACCACTCTTTTGTAACTAAGTTACCAAAAGTACAAGCCAAATCAATTTCAACTAATTACCCACAAATTCACAATGCTACAATCTTTTTTAAAACTTCACTGGGTTTAATTATATCTGAAGACAATTAAATTACTCTTTACTTACAAAAACAGCTTTGCCTACTCAGTGTTACTACATCACTCCTAATAGGCCATTAAAATTTAGTGAAATACACAAAAAAATTAACAAACTGTAGAAACACAGGTTCTGTCTTGTCATCTCAAATTTGGTCCTGTCACAACAAGCCCATTGCTATTAAAAATAGAGGTGTATGGGCTGACCAGAAGAAAATTTTAACATTTAAAAATCTGAAAGCCCAATTAGCTTATTAAAATGTGGTCAGCAGTTGCCTCATTTACTGATAAGTACATACTGTTACACTAAACAGAACGCACATCTATCTAGAGTACAAACACCTACCCACGCTCTGAATCCAATGTAGCAGATTATAATAAATTATATCCTAGAACATTATGTTCTGAACCTCCACAAAGCAATAAAGTATAGCAGCAAGTGCTGTAATAATTAAACATAGTAAGTTAACAATAGGCTCTTGAGACTTCCTTCCATTTACATTTCCACAGCATATTATTCAGATGTGATCCTCGTTATTAATAGTGGAAAGTATGAAGTGAAATAGTCTGCCAGTACTGTTTATCAGCAATTTATGAGCCTCTTAAGGACTAAGCTGTTAAATGAAACATGAAGTGCTAATGCAAATCCCAGAATAGGTGGAAGCCTGGCTGTAAAGTGAGCGGGCTCACTAGGTACCTAATCATTTACATCACTGTTCACTGTATTAGAATCCATTTTCAATATTGTCAAATCAACCTTACTAATGGCAATATTTTGCTGCAACGAACACATAGAAACAAAGTCCTTAAAAATCACATTAATAAAGTATAATTTTATACATATGTACTGCAATGCCCATTAACATCTCTCATAGTTAAGAATTTATAAGCCATTAGGCCTATATGATGATCTAAAAGCTACAGAGTAGAAACATATTCAGTGGAATACTTTCCCATGCATCAGGATTTTCTAACTACATTTTTTTGTGGAGGAGTCAAACTGTAGCAGTTGGCTTTCTTGTATCTAAAAGCAAGTAATACGTGTTTAATGACACACTGAAAATTAAAACAAAATATTCAGACCACAAGGAAAAGTTGTAGTGGAGTACTCTCAATGTACTATTTGCTGTAAGAAGCTAAAGACACTCAAATTTCTTAAAAGGGAAATTGCAGTGTAATAAAAAGATTTTAAGCAGTATATTTAACTACATAAAGAATAAATTAGTGAAGAACTTTTGTAGTATATAAAGTACAAAAAAAAGAAGAAACGTATGAAGTTGCCATTTTGACAGTCTCCTAAATTATATCAGGACTGAGAAAATTAAAGTCCCATTAAAAAACACTCTAAATTAGATAGATTCAATGTTGTCTTACAGTAAATTATGTACTTTTTATGTGTTTTGGTTGATTTAACAGCTGTTTTAACATTGACTCCACGAACAACTAACAAAACATCTTAACTCTTTAAGGGACCATTTACCCAGACTAGATGTTTCAATTTCACAGATTTTAATACCAGAATGGATAAGTTATAAACAAACTACGCAGCTGCCTGGGCGGTATATTCTTCCTAGGGAAACGGGGGCCAACCTGAGTGGCACTGCAATACTGCATGTCAGGTTACAATGCTACTAATTCAATTTTGGCCTACCTGCCCCTCCGTCATGATGGGGGTGCGTCTGGGCTCACTGCACGCCCCCCCACCCCAGTTGAGAACTTCTTTTCTGGGAACAGGAGGGGATGGCAGACTGAACTTTTGCCTAGGCCGGCAGACTGTCTTGAGCAGTCTTTGACAATGGACCATGATAATGATCTAGTTTGACCTCTTACATAACACAGGCAGTAGAACTCCAAATGCTAATTCACATATCAAGCCTAATTACCTGTGGTTGAACTAAAATCATTTGAAAATTACAATTAAGGACTTCAAGGGATAGAGAATCTACCACATCCCTTGATAAGATGTTCCAATGGTTACTTACCCTCACTTAAAAATCTGTGCTGAATTTTCAGTTTTATTTTTTTAGCTTACTTCATCTTTCTAGTCACTAGATTTTTTTTCTAATACCTTTGTCTGATAGATTAAAGAATCCAGATATTTTCTCCTTGTAGGTATTTTGAGACCATGATCAAGTCATGTTTAAGCTTCTCTTCAATAAACTATAGACTGAGATCCTTTAGCTTCTCATTGTAAGACGCATTTTCCAGACCTCAAATAATTCTTGTAGCTCTTCCCTGAATCCTTTCCAACTTTTCCCAACATCCTTTTTAAAGTGTGGACACCGGAAGTGGATATAGTATTTCAGTAGTGGTCTCACCAATGCTACAAGCAATATCACCTCCCTACTTTTACTCTGTATTTCTCCAAGAATCCTTCCAAAGATCATGAGCCATGGTATTACACTAGAGTTTATGTTCCTTTGGTCATCTACCATGATACCTAAAAAAGATACAGTGGATGAGGTAACATCTTTTATTGGACCAACTTCTGTTGGTGGAAGGGACAAGCTTTCAAGTTTCACAGAGAGAACATCCTGGACCTTGTCTATACTACAGAGTTTTGTCGACACAAGTTAAGCCGACAATCAAAATTGGTATAATTACATCGCTTGTGCATGTTCACACTATACTCCTTCTGTCAGCAGAGTGCACCACATTTGGTACTGTAGCATTGACAATGAGAGCAGAGCACGGTGGACAGCCATCCCACTGTCCTACTTGACACCTTCTGCAGCTAAGAGTTGTGGAGGGGGTTGTCCCATGATGCAGTTCTTTCTGTCCCAGAATTCCATGGGATTCTGACTGCATTTCGCGGCATTTTTCAATGGCCTATTTACTGTGTACCCACCATCTTTGTGTGAAAGGATGGATCCCGCACTGCTCTCTACTGTTGTAGTCATTGTTATGAATACATTGCAGATGGTCATGCAGTATATCATGAGCACCCAATCTGAACAGGAATCAGAGTTGCCCGATCTGCTGTATGTCATGGAAAGAAACACCACCAGATTACTTTTGGCATTCATGGAGCAGCTGAACACAGTGGATTGTGGAATACGACTTTGGCAGACTAAAAGTACGCTGATACTGCTCCATAATTGTGAGGCTCAGAGTGAAAAGTTTCCCCCAGGATGGAGCAGCCAGATACTAGTGCTATTAGAGGGGCTATTCGAATCAGGGAGGTTTTGAGGTGATATTTTGATAATGAGCCCTAGTAATGTAAGTCTTTCTATATAGCACTCTGCCATGCTTTGTTAACTTGCCGCCTTGCATGAAAATTGTGATGATTCCCGATTGGGATTTGTAGTCAGCAAATGATCACCACTATGTATTATTACCAACAGCAACCACCACATGTAGGAGACAAATAAAGATTGATTATCTTTCAGAGAGTTTGTTTTTATTAAATACTAATTAACAACACATGAAAGGCTTGGTGGGAAGGCAGATAACAATGAAGGGCAGTATAGGCTCTCATAGCTGTGTGTAAGTCCAGCTATCATTTTGGAAGTTGTCCGATGGGGGTGGCATGAATGGGGTACCAAGATGTTCTGGGAAGTTGCAAGGAATGTGTGGGAGGAGTTTGGGGAGGGCATGGAGAGCAGTTCTGTATCAGCTGGGATGGGAGGGAAGCATGCATGTGTTCTGCCTGGAGAGTTAGGGACTTCAACATCTCCATTTGCTCCTCCTTCACTTTTATCATCCGCTCCTGGTCCTTTACAATGCACTCCTCACTCTCCTTTCTGTCCTGACTTTCCATTTTAAATTTTTCCTTCAGGGTCTCTCTCCACTCCCTGCGTTCACTTTTTATGGCCTCTGAGGATTGAAGCACCTCTTGGAACGTGTCCTTCCTGCTCCGCCTTGGTCACTTCCTTATCTGGCAGAGGCGCTCTGCCGGTGTGTAGGGGTATCCCTGAATGTCACATCTGTGTATTGTTTCTTGTGCTTCTGCAGAATTATGATGGTCACGCACAACAACGAAACATTATAGTAAAATACACCTCTTAATATATCAGTCACTTT